ATCTTCAAGGAATGAATTGATGTGTGTAATAGAGCAGACATGAGGCTTAGTGTCGAATCACGACAGGTCTGATAAAACAGCAAAAAGCTTTTTGCAAGTTGAGAATCTGCGATTCTATGGCCTGATAGAGCGCTTGGGTAGTGTAAAACAAGTTTTTGCCCTTCCATTCAGTATTTTTTCAAACTACAGCGTCCCTCATCACATTCACTCGTTCTGACATTTAACAGCCGCAGTGTGATAGTTTTTCTGACTGTTTTCGTTCAGGACTATCAGCGTTACAAGAGATACTGATAACCAAGTCAGGTAAAAATTAAAAAGATCCGCTTGAAAAAACGTTAACTGATAATGGTAAAAGCAATAAAGATCATTATGATAAAGAGCAGTGAGAAAAAGCTATGTGATTTCCGGACATTCAAAGCAATTAAAATTAACGGATTTGCAAAAGACTAGTTGTGAAAGTAATCCTCCCTCACAACGATCAGTGATGGGGATAAACTTTTCCAAGAAAAGATACACTACTCATTAGCAGATTTCTTACTGGAAAAGAAGCGAAAGGGGAAAAAATCACTGGTTTGAAATTCCACAGAGGGGGCGTGCGTCGTGCAATAAAGTGAGCTTGTTACGAATAAAAGATTCTAATTATAGCGTTAATGAGGTGGGAATATCTCAGATAGACATTGATTCTCCGAATCAAGCTGGCAGAAGCAAAAGATATATATATATATATATGTGTAGTATGCATACATACAATACATGTACATGTACATATACGTATGTAATACATGTATACAATATATATACATATATACTATATACATGTATGAACAAGAGAGTAGGAAAAAAATTACTAGACACACAGAGAAAACTAACCGTGATTGGTGAGAACTTATCGTTAGCATAGTTAGCTCGTAGCCTAGAGATTTGAATCCGAGTTGGCACATTCGAATCCCCATCGCCAATGTTTCCCCGGAGTACTGAGGCTCTACGGGGAAGCATCAGATGGCCCCAGACTGAAATTGCTCCAAGTCAGCACAAATTTCAAAAGAAGATAACTGGTATACGATTGGCAAAAAGAACACTTTTTTCTGAAATGTAAATCCGAGATTGAAATATTTTGGGAAGGACAAGAAGTAAGTACTTCCACCTACCAAAATTAGAACCTGTTTTTCTCGATTGAGCCCTAAAAACTGAATTAGTGATTGGAGCATAGTGTTTCTATTTGAGCATGATTGCTGCACGCCGTATTGCTTTTCAGTTGTTCATACTTCATTCTGTCTTCCGTGGTTTTTCCTGTGTGGTTCAAGGTACTCGGGGTTTTACTCTTTTCAGAATGACCACAAATGGCAGTCAATCAGCACGAAAGCGAAAAAAAGCTGTCATCGTGGATTTGCGCAACGAAAGCGATGACGAGATCGTTGTAGTCGAAGAGCGGCGACCGCCTCCACAACCTTATGCACCAACTTTCGACCCATACGATCCGGAAGAAAATCCACAAACCTTCTACGCTCAATATGAAATTCCTGAATATCATACTCGAAATCTGGAGAAAAGAATCAATAAAGAAAGTGAGTTGTTTCAGCTACAAATGCCCTTCCTATAAAGACAAAAGTAGGACAGTGTATAAAGATTCCAAACTAGAACTTGCAGAAGCCTACGGAATGAACGTATATGCACAATTGGAAAA